ATCCAATTATGTGAGTTCAAAGACAACTGACTTGAACAATGAAAGCATAAGAACTAAGGTGGAAGAGGTGAAAAATGTCAATAGACGAAGAGGTGCTTCCAACCCTTACGTGATAAATGTGGCTTCGGATGGTCAGTACAATTGTCTGGTCATAGGACACAGCAAGAAATCTGGACAAAAAGCATCCCAATCAATCGACATTGCTTGTGAGACAAACACAGATAAGAAATATATCATAAGTGCTGTGTTGTAAAATAAACTTTGTTGGACTGGTGCGTGGCTAAGAAGCACGGGTATTACTGTCAACTGTCCTGGACACGAGGGATGCACAGCAAGACAAGACATGCACCTATATCTGAGAAAGAAATGGGGAGAATTATTGGTGAAGATTTATCTATTCAAGGGGTGCTCATCAAGTTTGCCACAACAGATGGAGATTCAACGTCAGCTACCGGAATTGAAGAGGCAATGAGAACTTTACATCCTATGTGGAAAATTGAAAAACTAGCTGACCCAGCCCATCTTAGTGCATCTCAGTTCCACCAATGTTGTAAGGCTAATTTAAGCCACACAATGTTCAGGGGCAAAACAAACGTTTTAAAAACAAATCAAAAGAAAACTTTGAGCCAGGATATAAAATCCAGGTGTAGCCTTGTGATAAAAGAGATGTGCATTACTTACTGCGGAGATGTGGACAAACTGAAAAAAAAACAGCTGCCGAAAATACTACAAGCAACTGTTGTATGCTGCGATGGAGACTGTTCCAAGTGCCGTTCGAACTCAAAAACTGATGGAATAGATCCATGTTTCTGGCTTCGAACAACTTAATGAGTCTGGAAATGAATGACAATGATAAGTTTCTGTTAAATGAACTCTTGAAATAAGATTAAGTGAGGAAGCCATTAACATAACCCGTTTTAAGACACACTCAAAAATGTGAGTCAATAAATCGATCCATAAACATTTCGCTTCCAAAGAGTGTCAAATGGAAGAAATCCTAAGTGGTGGCTATCATCCACTATTCTTCAATCAAATATTGAGATAAAGGAGGCAACACAGACAAAAGCAGAGTTTTTAGGGGCAAAATTGTCCCCCAAGTGTTTTCAAGCACTAAGCAGTATTCAGAAAAAATCAGTGTTCCATAGAGATTATGAAACAAAATTTTACCGGATGCTTTGCAGCAGATGGATGATGATCATTCTTATTAATATTCGCAATCATATTTAAATGTATAATTTTCCCTGAAATACCTATAGTACTTCCACACATGCAACATCATCTAATCCGGAACCCATGGAAGTCGATCAATTCCGCCAAAAACGTTGTCACCACTGACACAAATTAGGCCACATATGTAAAAATTCACATTAGTTCACTGCTGAGTTTATCAGCCGAACTAGTAGTGAAGCCTCAAACATATAATATAGGTATGGCGAAGGTAAAAGGTAGTAAACCGACGTCAAGTACACTCCTTATAGAAAGTTATGATAAGGGGTTTATTAGAGCACAACCAGGGTAAATGAAGTAGGTTCGAATGACCCTATAAAACAAAAGGGATATTGTAGGAAAGGCAATAGATGAGATGTTGAATGCTGGAATTATCCGACGATCCTACAGTTTCCCAGTGGTAATTGTAGATAAAAAAGATGGATCAAAACGCTTCTGTGTAGACTATGGGGCTTTGAACAAAATCATTAAATCAATTCTTACCCACTTCCTTTAATTGACGATGTATTAGCCTTACTAAATTCTGCAAAAATGTTCACAACACTCGATTTGCGAGCTGGATTATGGCAAATTAAGGTTAATGAGGAAGATAAGGAAAAAGCAGCCCTTGTCTGTCACAAAGGACGTAGGTTCGAATGACCCTATAAAACAAAAGGGATATTGTAGGAAAGGCAATAGATGAGATGTTGAATGCTGGAATTATCCGACGATCCTACAATTTCCCAGTGGTAATTGTAGATAAAAAAGAAGGATCAAAACGCTTCTGTGTAGACTATAGGGCTTTGAACAAAATCATTAAATCAATTCTTACCCACTTCCTTTAATTGACGATGTATTAGCCTTACTAAATTCTGCAAAAATGTTCACAACACTCGATTTGCGAGCTGGATTATGGCAAATTAAGGTTGATGAGGAAGATAAGGAAAAAGCAGCCCTTGTCTGTCACAAAGGACTTTAAGAATTTAATGTCATGCCATT